AAAATAATAAAAATAATTCCAGCCAAACTAGATTTTAGCTGCTAGCTTGAGTTTTCTTTACATCTTCACAGTTTGGAAGTCGCTGTTTAACCAGATATGTTCTAAGACAGGAATGAACCTTTCCGACTGATTCGTTATCATCTTATACTGAGTGTTCACACCGTCGCTGTCTGGGAATTAATAAAATGGCACTTTGCTTCCTAACCAGCTCGCTCTCACTTTGCAACTCTGTTTCCTATGATGTGTTTCTTCAGGCTCAAGTTATCCTAACACAACAAAATTAGGAGAAGATGACAGTTTCTGTTTGGGTCCAGACTTCTATGAAAGTGTACAAAAGAAAAATCTCAAATCAAACCCGGACGTGACAGAAAAAAAAAAAAAAAAAAAAGGTTTTCAGTTCCCCGAACCAAAGTGTGGACTCCTCATGTCCTCCTTCGGGTCCAGTTATTTGTACTCGAAGCAGAGGGCGACGACAAAGTTAAGCTCATCCAGCAAACGTTTTAGTAACACCTGCTTCCCGGTGTTCAGCTGTCATCAGAATCATGATACACAGAAACATACAGGGAACGTCCCCATAACAACATTTGATGCCTAAAATAGATTCAACAGGCATGTTTGTTTGTGAATAATAGTGACAAGACATGCCAAAATAAAGACAATTAAATAACAAACAAAAACAAAAAGGTTGGCAAAGGAAAAAAAAAAAAAAATCAATTCATATCGTATTGCATGTAAATATTGTATAAAATCCTTAAAAATACAGTTTAGGTAACTACTTAAGTACTGAAGTCATCACAGCCAAAAGTGCAGAGGTCCATAAATAAAACATTGACTGTGGGCAGACAGTGGGGCTTCTCCCACGTAACTCCCCCTCGCCGCCGCCGCCGCCGCCGCCGCCGCCGCCGCCACAAGGGACTGAATGAGCGCCTGGTCAAAGGTCAGAGTTCATGAACTAGGACTTACAAGTTCCCACATCGGTGCACAGAGAAGAGGACAGAAAGGAAAGTTGTTCTGTTTATATTCTCTCCTATCGCTGACAAACACACTCGCAGATGCACAAACGTCACTCACACAGTTGCAAAGTTCACTCTCAGTAATCACGGCCTGAAGTTCTGCTGACGGAGGCACACCTTGAGAAAACGAAGGTGGCACGAGGGGGGGAGGGGGGAAGACAGGAGGGCAGGAGGGGGTTACTGTAGGGCACATAAGGCGGCGTGGATCCAGGTATTCTTGTTTTTTTTTTTTTCCTTTTTTTTTTCCTTTCTGAGACACTTTTTCCGTCCTCAGACGGCGGTTACAGTTAAGGGCAGAGGGAGTGTCGCTGAGCCGGGCAGGCAACAGAAAACAGAGAGCCGAGTATTAAAGCTATCGAAGCGTCAGAATAAAAACACTGTCGGCAGGAAGAGAACCGAAGAGGAGGCGGGGAGGGGATCGCTCACCGGAGGACGGTCCCACAGTGTGTGTGTGTGTGTGTGTGTGTGTGTGTGTGTGTGTGTGTGTGTGTGTGAAGCCTAGAGGGGCCACAGGAACCAACACATCAGGGGCCTGAATCAAGAAGCACCTCCGTTTGGTTTTCCTATCAAGGCTTTAGAAAACCTGGCAAGGCTTGAAACTGGTCTCACAAAACCGGCTGGCGGCTCCGTTGACCCACCAGAACGCGTACGAGTTAGTTTCCATGATACAGCATCGAGCTAAGTGACCGAGAGTCTAAGATGTGATCCAACCGACGATCCCTGTGGGGGAGATATTCAGTGCAGCAGCAGAATGTAATCAGTGAGATAAAAATAGATGTTAAAAAAAAACCTATAAAACAAGAACGATGCTTTAAATATAAAAAGAACATAAAAAGTAAACAACGATAGTCGATCATCAAACACGACATGTGATGATCTGGACTTAGAGAGTGAGTAAAATCATGTTGTACATTAGACTCACGAGGGAGGAAATAACCGACTTTGTGCTTCTGTTTCTTTGTGAACAAACAAAAAGCTGGAGAAGAAACTGGTCTACGGTAAAAAGTTTGGCAAAAAGAAACGTTAACTGCAGAAGAGAAGCCTCTGGTGGCCGACAGGTTAAAGTCTGCATCTGGACACCAGAACAACAGTTTGCTTCAGTTTGGTTTAACTGTTCTAAATTACTGTGTGACATACATTAAATCAGATGTAATTCCTGCCACATTACCAGCTAACTCTGGTAAAACTAAGCCGACGGAGGGTTCAGTCATTGTTTAAACAGACTACCGTTAAATCTGTTGGTAAGTAAACGCAACACGAGAGTGATAATGCACTCCCATAGAAAAAAAAATGGCAAATACAGTTTAGTCGTGGACATTCATCTATTATGAATCTCTTTATGTTTGTGATGGTAACTTTTAAATAAGACCCTGCTTGTTCCTCTGAGCTGCAGCACAGGATCATCCACGTCAAATAAACTACAAGGCAAAGCGTCTCAGTGCAGTTAACTGTATGAAGAAAGTACTCAAAGTACTGCAGTAACTAAAGTAACACCACACTGCACTGGCAGGTTTATGTACTAGAAGGTTGTGTGAAGATAAATTAATAAAGGCAAAGACGTAATCATCAAATTATTAAAGAAGTGTCAACATCAGCCTAAAAAAATGCAGCATGATTCGGCTTCTCTCCCGCTGGTCCTAAGAAAGGCGTTCAATATTGTTTTTATAAGTAGATAATTAAATATTTAGTGTGTGAATCCAAATAAATCTACTGATCATTATTATGAAACCAGCGTAAACGGGTTGAATTAAAGGCGGCTTTGTGAGACCGTCAGCCAGTCGGGGTTTAAGTTATCTCACTTCCTGACGCAGGCCCCTGGGAAGCACGTCTCAAACATTTAGGGGGGAAAAAAATACAAGTGTTTGTTTTCTTAGCTTATTTGTCTACCTACATGCCCGTCATTGATGCTCCTCAAGCGCCCGGCGACTTGGTTATGAAACGCTCAAGGACTTGAAGCGGCTTTGAAGAGGGAGCCTGGACCCTATTCAACCACGAGAACACACGACGCAGCCGAAGCAACTGTTACTAGAGCTAATGAACGTGAGAAAAAAAAAACTACCACACAGTCATCTGACGCTTCCAAAACAGAACACCGAACCTAATCTCAGAGAGCAAGAAGAACAGAAAGAACGCGACCGCCATCAATGGAAAAATAGTCATCTGAGAGCTTCTAGAGTGTTTTGATCAACAGAAGTATTACTGATAAAAAAGGACAACAGCCTACAAAGACACTGGGAAGGAGAAGCAGGGATGGAAGCCGTTAAGACAATACTGGATATTCAGGCATCCCAATTAACACTTGTGTCCCCGAGGAAGGGGAGGATGAGGGGGGGTGGGGGGGTATTTGGGGGGGGTGGTCTTCAATCTGTGTGGGCTAATAGAGCACACACACCCCCCCCCCGTCACACTGCAAGTCGCAGAAAAAGGCACTAGAGTGGGGCTGTTGCTAGCCGTAGAAAAGTAAAAGCGATATACATTCATAGCTCACAGGTCGTCTGAACCGCAGTCTGGGAATAAATACACAAAATGCACTTGTAGAAAAATAAAATGTAAAAAAGCGTGGCCCCTATTTTTCTCTTATTTTTGGATTCTGGGAGACAAGTATGGCTACGTTTTCACGGCTTTTTTTTTTTTTTCTTCTTTAAATCCCCCACCCCACCCTACCCTAACCCTACCCACCACTTAGAAGGCAATTCAGGAGTGATCCTCCACTGCTCTGGCCGCGAGCAGTCGAGCCCTTTCATGCACGCCAACATGGGAACACGGGGAGGACGGGGAGGGCAGGCAGGGGTGGAGCGAGGGGGCCTTCAGTGGGGAGGAAGGAGGAGGTGGTGGTGGGGAGCTGTTGGTAGGAGGTCAAGGCTCAGCTTTCAGTGCGAGGAAGTAGAGGGGAAACTCAACAGAACATATGTTTTCAGATGTTCGGACAACAGAAAAAAAAAAAAAAAACACACCTCACCCCAGACGGAGTCACACATACATACAGCACACGTCTCAGTGTCTTCATGTACAGTGTTAAGTGGAAGGACTCGGGAAGCAAACATGTGGGCGCCGCTTCACTTCAACCCCCCCGTTTATCATTTATTGACATTTAGAGGCTGGTTTCTGACACTATCATGTACTTGCTTGCAAACAAATTCTCCTGATGTCTCTCTTAATCTAACAACCAGGTCACACCGTCCAGCTCTGTTAGACGTCTTTTCGCAACCCTTCGGATATCATCCTGGAGAGAACAAGTGCTCTCATATTTAAACGATATCCAGGCACAAAACCTGTCAAGCAGCCAAGAATCAGCGCTGTCATAGATGGTGAGCAGCTCAGAGAGACGAAAAGTCCAGAATCCTGACATGACAGCGCGAGTATCAGCCTGAAGAAAAGCTATACAAACGTCAGACTTAGGTTCCACTTTAATGGTATTTTTCAGGTTTTTAGTACCTCGAGGAAACTGACAACAGATGGACTCCTGCAGGTTGAAGCCTTCAGTTTGATTTCTGGCCTTGCGTTTCTCTTTACAGCTACATCATAGTGTTATAAACCAGTTCTTCAGTGGTTCTAAACTGGCTATTAATGCTAAACAGGGGGGCTAACGGAGCAAAGCGCCACCTGAACCTGTATCTGTCGGAGCGTATGTGTGTGTGTGTGTGTGCGTTTGGGAAAAAAAAGGGGTGAAACCGGCTGTTGTTTGCGCTCGAGCTTCACAAACAAAGAGAAGTCAGTAACCACAAAGACAGCATCTTCTCTCAAACCTCAGCAGTGCTCGCACACACACACAGAAAACACACGACTCGAGAGTATGTCGGGAGAGAAATGAGCTCCAGCTGACAACGGGGGGGAAGGGGAGGGAAGTGGAGTGTTCTGCCGAGTAAGGAGTGTGCATGTGAGGGGGGAGGAAGAGGAGGAGGAAGAGGAGGAGGAGGAGGAGGAGGAGGGGAAGTATTAGGTTTGCAAAGGCAGGAGCAATATGAGTGCAGGGGGGTGGAGGAGGGGGTGTGGGGTGAATTCCACAGCTCTGCACAGACTCAAGACAAGAGATGTGTAGTGAAAATCCTGACTGTAGATGGAGTTCAGCTGCTCCGGCGCTCCCTCCCACACCTCCTCCTCCTCCTCCCACACCTCCTCCAGTTTTCTCCCCGGCGTCCCGTGAAGGTGGGGTTGTGTCTTGGTGTGTGCTTGTGTTTGTTTGTGTGTTTCTGTTCGTGTGGTAGTTGTTCGATGGTTCAGTCAGGCCTGTGAAAGGGCTGCGACGGACGCGGCTGCTCGCCTCCTCCTCCTCCTTAGAGAGCAGACGTCGTGGCGAGGCTGCCTCCACCGCCGCCGCCGCCGCCATCCACACGCCGGCCTCCACTTCCTGTCACGTGGCCGTCGCCTCCAGGTAGCTCTGTAGTTTGCGGACGGTGGACTCGTCCAGTGAAAAGAGGTCAAAGTCAAAGGTGGTGTTGGTCACGTTGAAGTGGCCCGTCTCCTCGATCAGGTTGACGATCTGGTGGAGAGGAAGATCAGTTAATTTAGGGCCCAAGCTCACCGTTACACACCATATTAGTATTTTTACGCCAAAAGAAATGCATTTTTGAGGCCTAAATATGCCCCAAAATCACCACACACACCAGGAGTGGCGACAAATTTGATATCTTAAGGGACTTGGACATGTCACTGCCACAATGGCTCCACAGCGCCTCCTTGAAAATTTCAACGGACTCCTGTCACAAGCACGCTACGCAATTCGGTCGGCCCATAGAGCAGGTCGGGACGAACAAAAAACTCGACCTGCTCCAACCTTTAAAATGCAACACGGCTCAACTACGCCCCCTACAATATTTCAAAAGAGTCCCATCGGGGCTAAGATTGACTTAGAGCTACAAAAATCGGTACACACATGTAGCAGGTCGGGACGCACAAAAAAGTCCATCAGCGCATTTCTGTAAACCCAACAGGAAGGCCGCCATGTTGGAAAAATGCCGAGCATGCTCGACGATTTTCGCTCACTTTTGGGCATTTTCACAATCAATCTCCTCCTAGGGGTTACGTCGTACACACCTGAAATCTGGCCAGCACAAACTACAGGACGTGATGATTAAAAGGTATTAAAATCTTACGCAACAGTCTGACGGCGTGGAAATGGCGGCTCGCACAATTTCAATGAAAGGCCTTTTTGCGTATTTTCGTGGCGTTTTCGGTGTTCAACGTAGTCCCGTCAGAAGGCCGTTTCATCTACAGCTACACAATTCAGTGGGCTTGTGTAGCAACTCAGGACGCACAAAAAAGTCAATTAGCACCAAGACCTAAACCCAACAGAAAGTCCGCCATTTTGAAAAAGGACACCACCATAAAACGCCATCAAACGGGACGTGCTGTGTAACTGGGCTGTACATACTGCGATCTGCCTGAAACTTTACACACATGCTCCGAGTCCAAACCACAGCGCATTGCCAGCAAGCCACACCACGCACGCTGCCTCGCCTCGCCGTTAAACAGGAAGTGGCTCGTAACTAGGCCGCATGTGCTCCGATCTGGCTGAAACTCCACACGCCGAATCAGAGTCCCGCCCAGAGCGTGTCTCTGCCAAACCCCAACATGTGCGAAGGCCGACAATCGTACGGCGAGGACCCGTCCATTGCTGCTTGCGGCTTTAATTCAGTTTTGTTGTGGCAAAAAAATTTTATGATTCAATCAAGGGTAGAAACTGTAAGACTTTTAGTGTAAGCTTTGTCGACTAAACAGTCAACGCCTTCTCCTATCTATTCAGATTACACTGATGAAACTGGGCGAAAACAACACGGCGCGATGGTCAGACAGCGGCCGAGCACACACCTGCTGTAGGACGTTACGCTCCCTTAATGCCATCAGTCTGCGGTGGAGGTCCACCAGTTCTTCTGTGTAGGCCTGCAGGGTGTCGAGAGGAGAAGAAAGAAGACAGTGAACAAAAGAGCTCATAAATGTAAGGAGATGAGGGAGTCGAATTTCAGTGGATGAAATGTTCACCTCTGTTGCTTTCCTCACTGATGCTGGTGCACAATCTAGAAACAAGCGTTTGGCTTAGAGCAGCGTGTTACAGTGACGCTGCCCTGATTTCGCCTGAGGAGGGGTTTCATATGCTGCTCCTTTCATTTTCTATCATGTTACATACAGTACTGTGGAGACGCTCAGATGTTTAGATTGTTATCTGTATCATGAGGGAGGCGCCTGATCAGGCCCGCATTCATTCTGCAGCGGGTCAATGAGCCCAAACATGCAGCCATAAAGAGCGAACGATGACAAGGAGTCCTGCAGCAGATGTTCTGGCCCCCACAGAGCTCTGATCTCATGAGTTCGGTCTGGGACCGTTTGAAGTGACAGAAGACGCTCAGGCAGTCTGAATCTACAGAAGAGCTGCGGCAGCTTCTTGAAGGGGCTCGAAACATCTTGGAAATCTACGCAGAAGTGTCCAGAGCACGACTGCTTAAAACAACTAATGCTGATTGAATTTTCTTCTGTTTGCTGCCCTTTGCATGAAGTTAATTAACAGCTGAACTTTTGTCTTTGGTCAATGTGGGATTTTAATCTTTTTCTTCCTCCGCTACACTCAGCAGATGTTCTAATGTGAAAGTTTGATATAAGTTCAGTTTCACTTCATCGCTACTTCATTAAGAAGAAGAAAGCAGAGATTTCTCTTCTAGGGTTTACAGACCAGAGTCTCGCTGGTCATCACTGCATCCTGAACTCATTAGTGCACTGACTGAATGTTGGGATCATGTGTGTGAAAGTTTAAGCATAAAAAGTTTGATTTACCCTTCCTACCTTGTCGTATCCCTTCTTCATCACCTTCTCTGAGCGAAACGAGGAATCTGGACTCTTTCTGACCGACACCTGCAGAACAGAGATCAGAGAAAGGGCAAAAAAAAACAAAAAGAAAAGAAAGAGGAAGGAGAAAATATTGATACAGGGGCTGTGATGTGAGATCACGCGCTATCTGGAGCGGTGACGACAGTTAACGCAGCTGAAATGTGAGTGTTGTGCTGGTTGGAGCGCTGTGGTTCTGATGCCTGTTTGCTAACCGGCTTTAGGCTGTTATGTGCTGGGCAGGAGCCACGCGTTAAAAATACAGCACGACTCGAAATTCAAATGAATCTCGTCTGCCAGCCTAATGCCTCTCGCTGTTTGATTTTGATTTTGTTTTGACTGTTTTACTCGCGCGCGGCTTTCTGAAACACAAAGTTCCTCGGGCTTAATGTTCCTCACAAACCCACAGAGTTTAAACAACATGATGCTTTAGGAAATTCCTGCTCGTGTTGGCCAAGGAAAGGTCCAACTGAAATTAAACTCTTCTTTATTTTTTTTGACTGCCACAAAAAACACATCAGCTCTGTTAGTCTCTCATGTGTCTAATAATAAAAAACTATAAACAATATATTGAAAAAATACTGACAACAACTGTGTAATTAAATCCAATTACAGATATTGGTGAACAGTTCCCGCTCTTACTCATACAACAGAAAATGATGGTTGTGCATGCAGATTTCTTTCAGTTCTTGTCATTAAATGAAGTGTGTGTGTGTGTGTGTGTGTGTGTGTGAGACTCACTTTGTTATTGGAGGAGCTGTGTTTCTGTGGGGGCGGGGCGGGGTCTCGACTGGGGCGGTGCGAGCCGTCACTGCTGTCACTCTCGCTGTCCAGGCTGAGTCTGACGGGGGTACAGGGCGAGGCCAGAGGTCAACCACACAGACTGACACACAGGACACTCGGTCCTGCTGCTTAGCATCGGGTTTGGATGTGTGCATCTCAGGTTAGAGTTATAATCAAAGTTAGCACGAGGGCTTCATTTGCCTGTAATTGCTCAGTGAAGGAGATCTAACAAGTTGCATTTTGGAAACATACAAAGCAAACAATACTACCAGGGGATAAACGTGGTGAGGTATGGAGAGAACGTTAAAGGAGCCACAATTATGTGATCTAATGACTTCATTGTTACTTACCTGTACCTAAGACTTACTTCAGGTTTATTTTATTTATTGATTTACAGTCGTGACTCGATAATCCAACACTAAATGTAAAACCTTCTTTTATGTCGGATTGTCAAGACGGAGGTCCAGATACAAGGAGGGCTTGATGCTGGAAGGCTCATTAGTTGATCATTATTGTTCATAGTTGTTATAATAACTAGTGTGTTGTTAGAACACTACGCATCGCTGGATTTCAGCCTAATTGACCGGTGTGCTTGTGCACGTTCCGGCCACTTCCACCCCGGGGCAGCGCTCTGACGGGGTGGAAGTGTCCAGAACACACAGGCAGTACTTGGCTGCTGATGCTAGTTTAGTTAGCGCTCACACTTCTGTTTCCTCCATCGGTGGCGGCGGGGGAGTGGCAGATACGCTCCACCGTTACCATCCATGTTTACTTCCATAAACACTGAGCACGCTCGCTGCGTGTGACGTGGTCGTGTCCTCTTCTGCGCATGCGGGACACTTTTGGGTCGTATGAAGTTCACACAGCAGATCACATACAAGTCGCATTGAACTGGAAACGTGAAGGAAGTCACAAAGAAATCCTCATTGAGCATCAAGTCCTGCAGTGTGAACGTAGCCAATCTGTGGGATTGTTCAGTCAGATAATACGCCGTCATCCTGATTGGTGACATTAAATGTCATGTCGGAGTCACAATCCAAGGCTGTCGCTATGTTAAGGCTGTTTTTATGGATTCTGTTTGTTTTTCCTAAAAACCTGTCGGATAGCAGGTTTAGGATTGTTAAGGGTCGATTATCGAGTCATGACTGTACTTATTTCTGTCTCTGCAGATTTTGGCTGCATATAGCTGTGCATACACTCATTATACTTTTGTTTTTTCTTTTCTTTCTTTATGTTTGTTTATATGTTTATTGTTGCATACTGTTCTGTTATTATTGCTGTCAGACACTAGTTCTATTTTTCTGGCTGTTTGGCCGCCTTTTGAAGGCCCTGGGTTCATCTTACGATTAAGACAAAAAAAAGGGGGTAAAATATGTGTCATTTATTACCTGCCCACTATTGTATTCCTAATTAAAAAAGATTTTTTTTTTAAAAAGAGGACGCTGCAATTCTAAAAGAGATTTTTAAAGCTAGATAGTCGACATGTGCCTCTGGCTCCCGCTGCCTCCTTCCCCCTTGTCCTGTGCACAAGTCTGAACATGCACAGGACACACTGGAATACTGTAGCGTAGCTGTTTTTAGGCAAACATGACATTTTTTTCAGCACACATAAGGAACAGGCAGACCTGATAGTCACTGAATTAGACAAAAACTGTATTGGATTGCAATCACGGTCTCCACCTCTAAGTGTTCAAGAACGGTCTAAAGAAGTCTTGGTGGCGATCTGTGTCCGTCTGTGTGACGAACGCACGACGAACCGCGGCGCCGCGAGTTACAGGAAATACACAAAAACACAGATTCCAGCCGGACGCTTCATCCATGTGTTTTCATGCACATTTTCAATAGGTGCATTGAAAAAAACCCGGAGAACAGCGAGCACGTTTTTGCAGTTGGCTGAGGTGCAATGGAAAACACGCTTAGCCAACAAATCATAGAGCACATGAAGCATGTGACTCCAACATCCAGCGGAGCTTAAGAGGCAGCAGATGAAAACATCAGATGTGCGAGGAGCTGTGTGGAGGTCGTAGCGTTTCTTGAAATAATACATAAAATAAACAGAAATGCCATATTTTCATCACACTTCTCACATTGTTTTAGTTTGTTTTGCGGTTCGGCTGGCGATCTTTTAGGTAAATCACCTCACAGCGCTCTCTTCTTATGCAAAGGTTTAACGGAACCGGACAACAGAACAGGACGCCATAAAAAACGATTTAGGCTCTAAAAACCCTGAGCAGACATATTAGACCTGCACTAAATGCTGCAGAGAAAACACACGAGCTGCATATTGTGTAAAATCTCTACTCTCGACATCTACATGCGTGTTTTTAAGCTAAAAATGACGAGTCGTATCAGCTGCTTTGAGCTCTGACAGATTGTAAACGGTGATGTGATCAGTCGCGACTGGAAATCGCTGCACTTTAGTGGGCTGTCGTAACTCAGGACGGTTGGCTGACTCCGACTATCTCGCAGCAAATCAAGAAGGACAAAGTGCCCACTGATGGGAGCTCTGTTTGTTGTCAAGTTTATGGATCTGACTGCACGGTCCGCTCATGCCAATATCAGACCGACGTCTTGATCAGATGAATTATCGAGGAGATGCTCAGTTTCTGTCCCATCTGCTCTCAGAATGATCATCTGGCACCGACGGTCCGTGAATAACTGTATGGGATAGCTTTTTATAAATATATATTTGATCTTTTATTATTCTTCCTCGACTGCTTTGCACATGTAGGTCTAAAAAAAGGTGTCTTGTTTTAGCCTTTTGCATTTGCCAAAGAAATTAATTCCTTGGCTGACAGTTTTATGGCCGGGAAACTTTTTTTTTTTTTCTTTTCTTTTGCAGCTGATGTGCACTTTGCACAGTTTTATTACTCAACAACAGTGATGCTCAGTTATTGGAGAGATCTAAGTTCCAGCAATAAATTCAAAGAATTTCTCTGATGTAACTGAACCATCAAGAGTCAAACTGAATCGAATTAAATCGAAGCAGCTTCAAACAGATTGATCGTTGCCAGAATACAGCAAGAAACAGTGACACCAATGCAGACCCGGTGGCAGCATGAGTGTACGATAAGAGTTTTAGCTGCAGCATTATGTAGCTCTCCAGTGTGTGAATATGCATAGATCACTGTTCTTCATTTCTTTACTGATTGACAGTTTCTCTCAACTTGTGTCTGTGACTGCCCCAAAAAAAAAAGGCTTTGGGAAGACTGACCGAGAGTCGCGGTTGGGGGGGTTGGTCTTCATGGGTGTCTCTTCCTCCGAGCTGCTGTCGTCATCATCCGACTCTTCTGACTGGATCTCCTCCACCATGGATCGCAGGGGGCCTGAGGGACGAGCACAGAGTTGCATGAACGCTACCGTCTTTGGACCAAATCATCGGCATCTTTCAAAACGTAGACCAACTCTCAACACTCCTCTCACAAATGTCGAACTTTCACATCAAAACCAGCTGAAGGAACAGCACCTTGGCCTTGTTTCTGTCCCGGCTCGAAGTCTGAGTCTGAACTGGAGTCAGAACTGGAACTGGAGTTGGAAGGACTGGAGGGAGCCGACTGCTGTAAGAGGAGAAGACAAGGAAAATTAGATGGCCTAGTTAGTCCTCCAGTTCAAGATCAACACATGAGGTCATTCTCGTGCTGTTACTATTAAATCTATTTCTGGAAATTCCAAATTTAAGATCCGACATTTGGACCTAAATTAGCTCTAATTAGGAAAAAAAAACAACAATTATGTCTCCCTATGCTGTAAATGTATTGGTACGGATAAAATCACAGCTGCTAAGGTTTGTTGACTGAATGTTTGACTATTTCAAATCAATTATTAAACTTTTGTTCATCTACGCCCCTCTTTTGCAAGAACTTATTTCTACTCTTTGTAAACCAACGATCTCTAACACTCTTGAACAGACCACCTTGGAACATCTAGTAGCTTTACTATTTTCTTCTGCCAAACGATTAATCACTGGCAGATTGAACAATACACAAAATAATCATAATTTACAGTTTTTTGTTTTTTTAAGTGACCTGTTTTCATACACAACTGAAAGCTGTCTAGTCTTTGTACCTCTGACTTTGAAGACGCTTCATCCTCTGAATTCGACTCTTCCGACTCTGGAGGCTTCTTGGGCTCCTTCAGCTCCTGTGTGTCGTTTTTGCCTTTGGCCCAGCGACCTTTCTCCTTCGGAGGTTTCTTCTCGGCGTAGGACTGACTGGCTGCAGACGAGGAGGACACGCGGGGAGAAGTTCCCGTGAAGGCCCCGCCGGCCGGACCCTTGGGCCCCTCCGAGCTGCCCTTCTTCTGCTTCTTGGCGCTGGGTTTGGGAGACTCCACCGTCGAGGGCCGCTTCCCCGGCGCTTTGGACTCAGCAGACCCTCCCCCGCCTCCTCCCCCGCCGCCCCCTCCGCTCCCAGCCCCCCCTCCTTTCGGGGACATACCGTCCATCTTTGATTCCTTCAGGGTGAGTTTAGGCTCCTTGAAGGCGGCCTTGGGGAGAACCTTAACTTCATCTTTCACTTTGATCTCCGACGGCTTTTTCGAAGACGAGGATGAGGAAGAGGAAGGATCGCGGCCGCTCTTGCTGCTCCCATCTCTGTCGTTGTCTCCTTTCGACGTGGCTTTGCTCTCAGAGTCTTTTCGAGGCCGTTCACGGTGCTCCTTGGTCAGCTTGTGTGGTTTGGGTCCTTTGCTGCTGCCACTTCCTTCTTTGCTGGGTTCCTGGAGAGAGAAAAGACAACGGCGGGGTCATGAGCACACTCAGGAAACAGGCTCAGCTGCTCATCAAGGAGGCCTCTTCAAGAAGTTTAAGCTCTTCAGCTCCTACATCAGGCCTGGCGTTTAATGTAATCACATTATTTACTGCGAGTGACAAGTTAAACTAAACATTTTGGCCACTGTAAATCTGACCCAAAGTAACTACTGTCTCAGTAATTACTCTTAATAAACTGTAAACAGACGAGCATCTGTCACGCAGCTCACAAGGTTAAAACTGAGGCACAGCATCGCATTGAACAGGCTGACAATATCAGCGCTGTGTTGCATGTAACAGGTGCACAGTCGACCATGTTCTATGTCTTAGTTTGTGAATAAGCAAAACCATGTGAAGCTGACAGCGACGGGAATGCCATTAGTTTAACTGGCATTTGAAGATAAATCAAAGTATAAGACCGCCTGAATTCTGATGACTGTGCTGTATGAAAAGTTAAGATATGAGGCTTCTGGAGTTAGAGAAAAAAGCACAGATGTTCAGTGCACAACAAGCCCCGACAGTGAACCAGCACACACAAGAGCAGGAACTCCCATCAGTAAAGCACGCATGAATAATGTAAGCTTTTACCGCTACATCAAGTCAAAATGTGCGATAGTGGTAGAAACATTTCAGCGTGGGTCAAGGCAGTGGACTGACCAACTGACCTCGCAGCTGGGCTGGCTAAAAACAGCAGAAAATATACAAAGAAATAGCCCCACACCTGCTTCACAGGTTAAACGGAGACTCACAACTATGCACACAAGACAAACAAGGATCAACTTACATATATGAGACTCTTAACTTAAAGGCTGCCAATGAGTACATTTAAATGTATAATAAAAATGTTGTAAATGTGCAAACGAAGCCTCCACAGAGTCACAGGTGTGGCAGAGTCTACATCCACACTGTCCACCCACCTATCCACAAACAGTTTTACAGGTTTTCAAACTGACCCTATTAAATTTGATCTGTATATAAGAGCTTTTATCATATTATATAAGACTCAGCACAGGCTGGAGGATTGGAGCGAGAGCGGCCATGTGTGTTTCTGCAGAGGCGGCTCTCGCTGACTTTTTCTATGTCAGCAGATGGACACAGCTGGATGAGACCAAGTCCTCGTTCTGCCTCAATCTGGTGTTCAGCGCACGCCCACTCATGCCACAGCAATAGTGTGGCTTCAGGAAACATGTACTTCTATGTGAAAATTAAGGGGAACTTTGGTTTGCAGGAGTCATTACGGCCATTTAGCATCAGCACAGCTCCAAGTTAATCACTGAGGTGGGTCTTGAAGTTTTCTAAATTATCCAGAATCTGATTGTGTTTAGAGAAAACTTGAAAGGAATCTGCAGAACAACACACTTCCTGGTTGTATTACACACTGAGCCGAACTCAATCACGAGATGAGAGGAACTATAAAACCTACGAGTGGCTTTGAAAAGCCAATCGTACTTCATTTCAGTAGTGAAAACAAACCTCAGCAGGTCTGTGTACTGATAGAACAAATAACGATGGAAAATGTGAAGGGGGTCAGTTTCCTGTTTTCTTCTGCGTCCCCTCCTGGCAAATAGGAAGTCTGAACAATCCTGAATGCAGCTGCTAAAGATCTGCTGGTATGGATTAGAAGCCAGAGTCTGAAGAATGAGTTAATCATTTATCCATTTAAACACTTCGTACCCTCGTGGTGATGATCATTTAAAACATGCTGCTAAGTGCATTAAGGGACGGAAGTATGGGCGTGTGTTATTTATCTAGATATACATTTATTTCTTTAATCACTCTTTTACAGCTTTTATACGCTTTAGTTTTATTCTGACATGAACGTTGCACTGCTGGTTTGGAACCTTTTTGTCGGCCACTTCACCAACCTTTGACACGTGAGAGGTCTTGGTCTTCTTGGGGTCCGAGAAGGCGGAGAGGGGGATGGTGGGGAGCATCGGGTAGTCCGGACTGGGTCTCGACACAGCTTCAGCCCCCTCAGGTACCACCAACACCTGAAAGAGACGGGAGTTGTGGTGTTTAGTGTCCATGTTTAAAAGACAGGAGGAAGGGGTTATTTTGAAAGCTTCTGGATCCAAAAGTAAAAGTTCAGTTCGTTTTCCAGTGATGCTGTGAGGCGACAGCGAACAAGAAACTCACTCCAATCAGAATAAAACAAATTAAATTCTATGCTGCTTTTGATCATTTTAAACCCACTATGAATGCAATTTAGGATCAGTTTTACATTCAAACTGGGAAAAAAAGGAAGAACATCAGCCTTTCTGTTTACTGTAGCATCCAACAAACTAAACTCCCCACTGGTACGTACTAGTTCTCTCCAGAGCACCTCACTCTTTAATGCTAGCATAGATGAAAACACTCTTCTGATGTCGCTTACTGGAGCTGCCAGAGTTAACGCTGTTACCCCAGACTGGGACATGCTGGGGTCGGGGTTTGGTGACGTGAATACAGAACAACACTGGATGACGTTTGATGATGTCTGCTGGTGGGTTTTCGTGGCAACTTTATGTTTTTTTCTGACTAACCATGCAGCTCTAACGCCTTTACACTCAAAGTTCACAATCTCTCTCCTTCTGAGTCACCGCCGCCCAGGCTGGATGTGAGCTGGTACATTCTTACTGGTCTGCGTAGTTTGTGGTTCTTGGTTCCACGTTAGTTTCATTTTCTGTTTTGCTACAGCGTCATCAATACAACGCGGTTTTTTCCTCCCGAACACGTGTTTTGTTGTTTTTAAAAACTGAGGTTTATGCAAATTTCTAAAACAATTCCAACCTCATGACCTAATCATTTTTTTTAACCAAACAAAACTGCATTTTGAAATACAGTCGTGACTCGATGAGCCGACACTAAATATAAAACCTTCTTTTGTGTCGGATAGCAAGGCTGTCGGATTGTCAAGACGGAGGTCCAGATACAAGGAGGGCTTGATGCTGGAAGGCTCATTAGTTGTTAATTATTGTTCATAGTTGTTATAATAACTAGTGTGTTGTTAGAACACTACACATCGCTGGATTTCTCGTCTAACTGACCGGTGCGATTGTGCATGTTCCGGCCACTGGAAGTGTCCAGAACACACAGGCAGTACTTGGCTGCTGATGCTAGTTTAGTTAGCGCTCACACTTCTGTTTCCTCCATCGGTGGCGGCGGGGGAGTGGCAGATACGCTCCACCGTTACCATCCATGTTTACTTCCATAAACACTGAGCACGCTCGCTGCGTGTGACGTCGTCGTGTCCTCTTCTGCGCATGCGGGACACTTTTGGCTCGTATGAAGTTCACACAGCAGATCACATACAAGTCGCATTGAACTGGAAACGTGAAGGAAGTCACAAAGAAATCCTCATTGGGCATCAAGTCCTGCAGTGTGAACGTAGCCAATCTGTGGGATTGTTCAGTCAGATAATACGCCGTCATCCTGATTGGTGACATTAAATGTCATGTTGGAGTCACAATCCAAGGCTGTCGCTATGTTAAGGCTGTTTTTAATGGCTTCCATTCATTTGTCCTAAAAACCTGTCGGACAGCAGGTTTAGGATTGTTAAGGGTCGATTATCGAGTCACGACTGTATCTAAAATTCTTTTAGACTTTTTAAATACATGGTGAAGTTCTGTAAATTAAAAAAGGTAAAGCCTTTCTACATAAAAGTGAGGTTTTTGCTTTAATTAATCAATGAATTTACTCTTGATGTCGAACTGCTATTGTAGTTGTTAGATTTTGGTTATTCGGGACCCCTGTGGTTCAATGTGAAGTAAACAAGTTTTGTGGTTGTTATAAATTGGAGGTGTAAAAAAAAAAAAAAAAAGCTGTCATATGAAGAAATTTACTTCCTATGAGTGTGTTTGTTTGTTTGTGTGTGTGTGTGTGTGTGTGGTTGCAGTGTTAAGATAACTGTGTGTAGGGCGCCCCGGTAGCTCAACCGGATAAGACGGCGACCCATGAACAGAGGCTATAGCTTAGAAAGAAAGAAAGAAAACGTAAAAGACTTTTTTTTCTTTCTGAAGTAAGGTTTTAACACCTACAAATGACTCTTTTGGGAAATAAAGACTTAAGATGTGTAGATAGTCTGTATGAGGATATGTTTAAAGATTAAAATGGGTGCTGAATGGGGACAGTCATGGTAAAACACAGCGTGTGGTCGCTGCTACTCGTGTCAACAGCAGCGTCTGCTATTCACCCATTTAGGCTTTAGTCAGTCAAAATGACAATGAGCCAGTGTGCCAGGCAGCCTCACCCCTCCAGCCTTGATCAGCTTTCTTCTGAATTCTTTGGTGGGGTTGTTGAAGGTGAGCTTCTCACAGCGCAGGTGGTTGACTGGTGGGTTGCCCTCCAAGTTAAGAAACAGGTCGTAGTTGAAACAGACCTTTTTTGGCTCCTCCTGGAGAAAGAGAAAAAGGATGCAGGCTGTTTGACAACGTCTTCTGACAGCAGGCGTGACACATTAATTTGTGTTTGTCTGCACCGCTGCTCTGCACGCAGTCAGCCCTCAATACCTGCACATTTCCCAACACACGATAAAAGCTGAATGAAAGAGCTATCATCCCCGGAAGTCAATAAAACAGACATAGCTGAAGGCGGCGCGCTGATAAGACGCATTCCTGAGAGGAGCTGCAGAGCTGTGAAGAGGAGGGACGACTACAGCTGAGCATTAAGACACTCGAGATATTTCATAAACGAAAGAGTTAACGGGACAGAAGAGGAGGATGGATCGTTCTCTGGATGCAGTCCAGAAGTTTAATATTATAGAGAAGTGCAGGAGTTGATGGTGCACTAATGTGCACACACCTCTTACGCACCGCCTGTATCTGGTAATGAGAGCAAAGTGCTTCTTTCTTTCATCGTTATTTTAAACGGCTAATGTAGACGTATGCGTGCTGTTATAAAAGAGCGTGCTCGTTTTATTTCTGTCACTAACGGAGACTAAATGTCTCCACATAAGACAAGTGTTTTACTAACACAATCAAGCATTCTGATTTACAAGAACAAGTGCCTAACCCACTGAGGAGTGTATATTCAAAGCTTAATGCTGAGCCATGCTGGTGGATCCGAGGTTCTGAGCCATCACTGTGATTGTGGTGCACTTAAGTAATCTGATTACTCCCAGTTTTGGGCAGTAAATTGATTTTAAGCATCAAGTAAAAGGAAAACCCGGTTTACTTTATCAAGTTAAGGGATTAACCTGATTAACGGGGATAGATTCCTGCTGGGTTCTCTCTATAACCTGGATTCTCATGTAAAGTTTAACATTATCTGTTGTGGTCAGTGATTTTTAACCCCATTCAGAGTGCCAATGTGGGAATTTATTTATCTATTTTATCCCTACCACAGTAGCTCGCTGGTTCTCCTGTAATTTAAAAGCTTCTGTTAATATTTAGACCATCGCTCCTCTTGCTCCAGCTGACTAGTGCTGTGTGGATCGGTCCGAGCCACCTGGATTTTTATTTTTTTTCCATTTATAGAGGCTGTGTACGGAGGTTTTCCAGCACGTAGAAACCATTCAGAGGTATTTATTTAATTTGACAAAAAAAAAGTCTACTGGATCCCCTCGCTCTACCACTAAATGCCCTCTGGAGCAGCATCCTTGTATTTTAAAGCAAATCTCTGAGTTGTTTTCTTCTTGTTCTTTCTCCTACATATTTTTATTATGAGCTCAGTGTGAAGTTTCATCCACAATTATTTCTTTTATAAGATTTCATAATATAACATCCACAACAACGAAGCATAAAGAGGCCAAGTTAAGTTCGTGAACCGGGACAGGTTGTTCTCACCTTGTTCTTGAAGTAAACCTCGATAGGCATGAGGAAGCCGGCGTAGCCCGACTCTTCTACTTTGTACGGCGGCTCCTTGCATACTGCAGACAGACACAGACTCATTAAAATGAAAACACAGCTAATGGGGTAGACAAATCTGCAGTCTTCATTAAGGACAAACAAGCAAATCTCTAACTGCGCGAGTTTAGAAAGAAATACTGTCGAAAATCACAGCTGCAGTGCGCTTTCCAGATCACCGTAAATGAGAGATATCTGACTTTGTTTCACCAGAATTCCTGAAGCAGTGACACATCTAATAAATTAGCCGAGAGTCTCGGTTTGTGTAAACATGTTGACGTATTTACAAGATAAAATGTTCATGGTTCTAATTATAAAAGAGCCCGAGATGTAACGGGAAAACCGACTTGTTGTTGGGAAATCAGACTTGCTTGTGGAGGTGATCTGTGCATTAGCAAAGCTCACTTTGACCTCTTATAAACAACCTGATTTAAAACCTGACTAATTTCTCTGCATCTCAAAAAAAAGCCCAACACGTCCTCCCTTAATGTTTTCATTCAACCCTTTCTTTTATGAGCATTTTTCCATCCCTGTGTGGTTTGAACATGAGAGCACACGGTTGTGTTCGTGCCACCACCCGGTCGTACCTCTCTTGGGTTTGGGGAAGCTCTCGTGCAGGCGGAAGACGACCTTCTCTACAAAGTGCTGGATGTCGCCGGTCTCTGGCCCTCGGACGAACACCATCCAGTCGTGGGTGAAGCCTTCTGACGTCACTTTCTTCCTCAGCTGAGCTCTGTGGCCCAACTCCAGCTTCACCTGCACTGTGCACTGAAAAGGGAACAGAAGAGACAAACACATTAAACACTTTGACAGGCATGTATACGTGGGAGCATTTACGCAAATCAAGAAATCAGTTAAATTTGCCACACATTGTACACGTGGAGCTGAGCAGAGAGAAGCAAAACAAATGAATGTTTTCAGTCTTCCTCTAGATATAAACTATGTGTGGATTCAGTGTTTTCTTAAAATAGAAACCTTCAAAAGGAGATTGAATAATTTTATTAGGTGTAGATTCATTTGACCTGCATGACATCAACGATCAATACAACAATTTAAAAAATTCACCGGAGACATCGTCCGTTTTGGTTCCAAATTTCCAAACGTGTCTTGCCTTTTGTGATGATGACATGAATTTGGGGATTATTTTCTGTTTAAACAAAACACATCACAGGCTTCTAAAATCTGATGCATTCAGGTCACACAAGCCCAGAGTTAAAAACAATCACCTGAACCGATCCATTAGTCTGAAGTCACAGGTAAAACATTCAACCTTTTCCAGCTACTTTCACGTGAACACTTGACATTTTTCTGTCTATATCAGCACACAGGTAGATCTCATCCAGAGACGTCACCTTGGCCCGTCAGAAAACTGCTCACTTCACACTGTTCTGTCATTTTATAGAATAAATGATAAATGGAGTAATCGATCAATCAGACTGATCGATAATGAAAACGACTGTACGTCAGAGCCCCGTGCTACCGACTTCATCCCGGTCCGTGGCAGTGATAAATTACAGCGGCAAAGACACCTTGCAAACCGAGGTAGCTTATGAAATAAACATAAGCAAAGCCAGCGGTGAGATTAATCCAAGGGGCCATTATTCATTGGTTCCTGATTCCACCTTGAACAAAACCTCCGAATCTCCACTTTGAGTGCGAGGACTTGATACTCAAGAGGAGAAGGCCTCGGAGAAACACAAAGCTGGACCGGTGTCGGGGCGCTCCCAGTGGAATGGGAGTGATTAGCCGCCCGAGCCGACGGATCTCAAAGGGGTTTGTCCCGAAGAGGGCCACGTCGTTGGCCTACCTCTGTCTGCCAAGAACAATGATAGCAGCGGGCCACGCAAATGACACTGCGCTGGTGGTGACTGGCCCACAGAAGAGGCTAAGTGAAGAGGTTATGGAGATCGAGTGCAGAAAGGAGCGCAGGGTGGGGGGTGGTGGTGAGGACCGGTGGGGGGACAGAAAGGCACTTTATGTCCAGGGGGGGACTGAAGAATGTGGGGATTTGGCCCCCGCACTGAGCAGCTCGTGAGCTGGGACTGAGTGGGGGGATTAGAGGGGACAGGATTGAGATGAGCTGGTCTGGCACTCTCCAGCTCACTCTCTCACACACACACACACACACTCTCACACAGACACACACACACACACACACACCTCCCTGCCTGCCTGGCGCTCTGCCCGGCCATTCTGTGGCAGTAATGCCCTTAAACTCCAGACTCCACCACACCCACAGCGAGCAGCCGTGGAGTCCCTCCAATCAGCAGCACCCACTCCCGCCGAGGAGTCCGCAAAATCAGGAATGTGATAAGTAAAACATAAAAATCAGGATGACAACGAGCCAAAGAGGAAGACGGTGATTCTGCGCCAGAAATGAAAAGGAAACAATAAACCCAAAGCATGAAAATGAAAAGCTGGAATCACCCACAGACGTTACTCGACAAATTCACTGGTTAAAAACAATAACAGCCAATATGCTGATAGCTGATCAGTCTGTTTGTTTGTCCCTAAAATGTGAGGATGTCTTTGTCACATGTGGTAGTAAACTGAACATCTTTAGGTTTCTGAGTGACTGTCAGACAGAACGGGCAGGCTTGGAGAAACTGGAAATTGCTCTTTTTCCCGTCCACTATTTCTAACAACATATCTATTTAATTATTAACTCGGAAAATAACCAACAGATTAATTGATTATGAAAAAAATAATTTGCTGCAGTCCTACACAAAACAGCTCCCAAAAAAAAAAGAGCCCAAGAGGCAACGTGAGGCCGAGAAATTAGAGCTGAGACAATTAGCTGATTGTCAGAAAATTAATGAGCAACTGTTCTGATGACTGAATGATTGCTGGAGCCGTTTTTCAAGCAACAATACCTCAATATTGACATACTGACAAAATCCACCATCCAGCTTCTCTGTTGTGAGAATCTGCTGCTTTCTTTCAGTGCGTGTGACGGTAAACTGAGACTGTTTGGACAAAACAAGACGTGTGAAGACTTTACCTCGGGCTCGGAATTGTTACAGCTTTGACATTTTATAGATCAGAAGAATAATCAGTTAGGAAAACAGATTCATCAGCATATTAAACAGTAATAAGAAATAATTGCCAGTTACCCCTACTGGGAAAATACCAGGGCGGCGACTCGTGATGGTTTTCGATATCAATTAAGCTGTGAAATAGCGAAAGAAATGTCTGACTAACAATCCAAGACACAAATTTACAACAAAACGAAGCAGCAAAAAGAAGCGATTTCTTAAATTGCACAGCATTAAAAGCAAACGTCTGGCGTTTTGCAGGAAAAATGTCTTCAAAGATTTACACACTATGGAAAAACATTTCTTTGCAGTTAACAGCTACTGTTAATAGGAACTAATCTGCAGATAGATTATTAATAATCTAATCTGTAAAAAATCACTTTCACAAGTTTTTATACTCACTCATCTTAAGATTGCTTGTTTGTCCAACCAGCTGTTCAAAGTCAAATACATCACAACAAAACAGAGAAAACGTTAAATTCTCATATTTAAGAAGCTGGAAAGAGCAAATGTTTTGCTATGAAAATGACTACAGTTGCAGATCAATTTTCTTTCAGTTGACTAAAAGTATTAGCTGACTAATCCTTTCCACTTGAGACAACACAGACAGCTACAGAATATTTAACTGCAAGAGTCGTAAAGTGAACTGAGTCAATCTGTCTGTGAAAACATGGAACAAAGCGGGAGGTTCAGGAACATATGTCCAACAAAAGTGAGTAACGTCTACCAACAATCTGACAGCATGAACGGCATAAAGAAGGGACATAAAGACGCGGAATGAAAATAACACTGATGGAGGTGGAAAATGATCGAGCGTGCGTCAAACCGCCTGAAAACACCGGAGGGGACACATCTAGAAAAACAACGGTTTCTCAATCATCCAGTTCTACTGAAATAAAACGGACAGACAGACATGTGGCGACGCATATTTATTTCGCTAACTTCTATCAAAGGCAAAGCATGGGTTAAAAAAACAAACAACACAAAGCTGCTAATATTGAAATGATGCATGCATGTCCTCCCTCTCTCTTTCTCACACAGAGCTTCAATTGAGGGGAAATACAAATTTTGGCAGACACGCTGGCTCCCATGAAAACAATGAACTCCCAGCTGCCGTGTAAATAACACCCCTCATGACCATGTTAATCTCTTCCAGCTAATAAACGATTAAAATAAAAGTCAGAAAGTTTCCCTGAGAGAGGACACACATGAACAAGCAATCCTGACAGCGGTTGTGTTTTGGTGAAGCGAAGTCTTTCAGCGTACGCAGCCTTCACCACCCACAAGACGACACGGATGGAGGTGAAACAGTTACTTGTATTGGAAAGTGGTCAATCCAGGAGAGCCACGGGGGAGTCACAAATAGTCAATCTGCAGCACCCAAAGAAAACAAGTGAGTATTGGAAATAGGGTGTGTGAATGAGTGTGCAGAGATTATGAAAAGCTGCATGACCACTCATCCTGTCATCCCTTCTGCAGTGTTCATACACACAGCGCTGAATGTAGTAAGAATGCAGAAAAGCTCTCAGTATTTGCACACAAAGCCATGACCACACTTTACTGCACGTGTATAAAGAAGTGTGACTAATCAAGCCATCCAGCTATGTCATGATGCTGTAATGATGCAATGCATTAATTTCAAATGAAGCATTTACAAACTGAACCTGATTCTTGTCTGGGTCTGACAAATCTATTTAAAACTGATGCTGTCCAGTCCAATAACCCTGCATCACAACATGATAATGTCTGTTGGCATCAGTGAGTCAAGATATAATATCAGGAACACATTCTAGTACAAATCAATACCGTTCAATACGACCACAAGCAGCCTTCAAAATGACAGCATCAAGTAAACCTTACACCCTTCATCTGGGGAGGACTGGACTGCATTATTTTAACTATGGGCTCCCCACAAACTGGCAACTGTGTATAGTATAGTATAGTATAGTATGGTATAGTATAGTATCGTATAGTATAGTATAGTATAGTACAGTATAGTATGTGTGTAATAAGGATGGAAAATGTAACGCAAATCTCTGACACGTAACAAAGGTAACATGAATCAAAATTTCAAACTACATTAAGGCTTGAACTTGTGGCAGAAGACTTCCTCTGGATGCACTTTCACAGATGTAGTTAAAACTTCAAAGACGCCAGAGCTGAATGGAGACTAGTTCCAAGAAAGTGGCGGAGCCACTCTCCCTGGGTGTGTGTGGCCTAACCATCTGAAATATAGTCCTGAACAACCTCAGGCATTTAGAGAGCAACCCATTCTGAAGTAGAATGTTCTTTACAGTGAGCAGATATGTAATTAGGTTTGCCCACTTTTCTGTTTTCTGCAAAATAAATTATGTACCTTTTTATGATTACATAAATCTTAACTGTGCAAATACAGACATGCAAAAGTATTAAATGCAAGCACACAATCTTGTAAGATTAAAGGTTTACAGACCAGCCCTTACAATCATGTTTCACATTCTGGATTTCTAACTGTACAGTGAGCAGCCAATGCGAGGGTGGTTATCAGAACTGGATTCAAGTTCAACATTTGCCACACAGGGAATCTGTCAGCTTTTCCACCATGCTACATGCATTTTAGTCTGCATTCGTGAATGTGGTGAGCATTAAACATTAACCAACTGTTGGCGAATAATGCAAAGATTTTCCAGAAGTTGCATGCAGATTGCTGCTTTTTGCGCTGAATGTGGAGGTTTCAGGCCGCTGGCAGTGGAGACAACACCCCGCCTCTCCAGCCCAACCTGGAGAGGACAAATCTTTTCCCCGGCGCCTTGTAGCGGCTCCTTAGCCTTTAGCCAACGGCCGACACTCTCCTGATAGGTAGATTAGCTTAGCTTAGCTCCACAAAACCTCGACTTAAATTGGTCTTCGGGGTGTTTAAAAATGTGCATGTGCTGTCTGAAGGCGGCACAGCGGAATAAACACCAGGTGTGGATCTCTTTGTGTGCCTGGTTGTGGCTAGAGCTATGCAGCGGTGCTGAATGGTGTGGTAGGCTGAGGCTAGCTAGCGGTAAATACCGATGTATGAGTGCCCAGCTAGCATAGCTCCAGAGCCAAACAACTACGAGTTCATTAGCAGCAGGAGCATTTTTTTTCTTCTGGCTAGCAGAACAGAGGATTCATTCCTGCCCTGCCAGCGCGCCGCCTGCTGCCATTTTCACCGTGAAAAGTTCATATTCCGTAAGGAGACACAAAAGCCACTGTACCTGGTTCTCCATGTTTCTCTGGCCTCAGTGATTGTTGTATTTATTTACAGCGGCGTTTGTGGAGCGTCTCCCCAGCCTCTGCTCCTCATTGTGTGTCAATCCAGCCCAGAAGCGGAAGGCAGACGGCTCCCCTCCCCTTCCAGACGGCTGCTGGCAGGCAACCAAAACAGAAAGCTCTCTCAGCCAATGGGAGAGCTGCAAATTTAAGCACTCTTGAAAGGAGCCAATCAGAGCAGGCGAGAGGCGGGGCGGTCTCCGAGCTGCAAATACAATTAAAGCATTTTCTGGTGGTTTTCTCGAGTGACAGCGAGCCTGTCCCAATGGCTACAGCTCTGTTTCAATTGTAAAATGCACAAGATGCTAATTGATTAATCGGGGTTCGATTGTACGAGTTTCACATTTTAACCATTGCTATTAGTGTGGTAAATGGAAAATCAATAACACGAGCATTATCTGATCATATCGTACTCATTCAGCTTAACATATCACAAAATATTTATTGAAATAATTAATTATGGATGTCAGTTTCATAAATTTAGTGGAGTCAGAATGTGAGTGATCCTTCTCTGTGATCTCCAGTCAGTGCTTCTGTGTCATGAAGACGCCCTAAAAAACCACAATTAACTCACTGACATTCACACGAGCACACTTTGGAGATGTTGTATTCATTTTATAACACATTTTTGCATTTGCCCAATCACATTTTCAAGGGACATGTGGTATTTTTACACCGCATTCATTCAATAGTTGTCCTTATTTACCAGCTTACAAAATATATACAAACCTCATGCTCAGTTAAATTAGCACCAGCAGCAAAAACGACACTATTAAAGAACTGTTTGGATGCAGAGTATTTGTCTAAAGTATTCTGAATGCAAGGCTTGTATGTTCTGATAATGGAGAGTTTTATATTTTGCTTAAGCAAATGACCTGAATACTTCCTCCACAGGTGAAAAGCAAAAATGTAAAACTAGTTCAAGTGTTCCAAACCCTGTTTTCCATCTCTTTATGAGTAATACACAACACCCTGCATGTTTATGCCTTTGTATCATCGAGCTAATTCTTAAAACACATCAATCAAAACAACATAAAAGACGTTAGTGATTGCACAAAGCATTTTCTGTAACATTAGGATAAGGGATTTGTAAACCTGGGTGAATGTATTATTCCCTCTAACTCCACAGGTAGTCGTAATAAGCTTACTCAGCGACGTCTCAACTGGATCAGTGTACCAGCTCCATTTCAAGCGTTTCGTCTGAAAAGGAAGCCGTACGTCTTCTGATTGAAGACGTTTCTTTTATACCGACTCGGGGAGTGAGCGCCCATTGCAGTCAAGTCTCTGCAGCGCTCAGACTTTGATGTGAGATTATCGGGCCTCAGCTATGTGACAGAAGGTCACCACTCTCTCACTGGCTTGGTGCCTCCCCTTCTTCTTCTTCTTCTTCTCCTTCTCCTGCTGCTCAAACTGATCCAGCCTGCCACTCAGTCCAGTCTGAGGACAGGGAGTCCCACCTGGCTGTCAGACAGGAGGGTGTCCAACTTGTATTGAGACATCAACCTTTAAATCCTCCTTTTCAACATGCAGGTTGAGACAGAAAGACAAAATCTCACACACTTCCCAAATAACACAGCTTTATTATAATTAAAAGCAAATGTGTTGACGGGGCTCTTTGGCCAGCTTTGTGCAGCTTCCTTCTTTGCTGGGCTCCTGAAGAGAAAACATTTGGATCCACATGAGTCCTGTCCTCTGCACTCCAGATCCAAAACCTGGCCTCTCCTCTTCAGTGTGGACTCTGATCAAATTATTTGCTGTTTGTGTTGGAGAGAACTTCAGCCAAAATTACAAACAAAACACTGTTTTTTTTTTTTTCAAGAAACAACTTTCTCTACAATCTCTGTGTAATAAAACAGAAGAATAATGCACTGAATGAAAAAGATGTGCTGACCTACATGACCTATTACACAATATTTACACACTGCTCCTGCTATCAGCTGACAATTTGGACTATAAACTGTAACCAGCTATGGGCACTACTTGCTGGAATTGAGGTAGATTTTTTTTTTTTGAAGGCCTTTTCTTAAAACCGATTTATGATTTTAACAAGCACGCTGCCAAATATCTTTTGTTTTTTGTTTTTTTTAAAACAAGCAGGCTGTGAATGCTGCTGGGATGATTGAGGGTTACTACATTGTATTTTATGCATGCAAGAGTTTGTGTTGTACCGACCGACCTCTGACACATGAGAGGTTTTGATCTTCTTTCTTGGCGGCAGCAAGCTGGGACTCAGCTTACCCTGATCCTCATCTGGATCTATTACCTGAATTTGGGAGACAACAGTTATGACATTTGTGTGGATCTCTAAAGACACAACAAATTTTACCTACATTCTAAATTGTTAAATACTGAACTTTATTCATGTTGACTAAAGACAAAACCACACCTATTTGAGAATATATAATAAAGCACATTTAAATAGCTGCTACTTGTACTGGCTGCTGTGAGTCACTCAGCTATCAGTCCAGTCAGTCATCTAGTGTGTCGGCAGCCTCACCCATCCAGCTCTGGTCGGCTTTCTCTTGAATTCTTGGGCAGGGTTGGTGAAGGTGACAAGCTCACAGCACATGTGGTCAACAGGAGATTGAGTCCCTGTACTTAGGAACACGTCGTATGTGAAACCCACCTTCTTCAGCTCCTCCTGGAAGACAGATAAATGGAGATATAATGTTTAGCAAAGCTAATCCGACTCCTTTTCACCTTCTTGCAACAAAGTGAGTAGCACTAAGTGCTTTTCTGTACTACTGCCCTTGATATCGTCAGCTCTCAACACCTCAACGTTTCACATTTAAAAGAAAAATGAATGAACTATTACCCTGGAAGTTTACAAATGAAACACAGACATTAAGTTGTAAAGAGGTGAACTGCTAACGCTCAGCAAAAGACAGGCTTGAGAAATTTCATGAGCAGAAAAGTCTTGTTTGTTTATCTTCTTGACAGATTCGCATTTCACCTCGATATGCATTAAGAAGCCACCGAAGCCTGACTCCTCCACTTCATACAGAGACACACATGTCTGGATGTAAATACTGGTCGTCATTAGAGTGATGCTGAATTGATTAGTTTTTATGGCCGGTTACCTCGCTCTGGGTTGGGGTTTAGCTATCCTGCAGGTAGAAGACAGCTTTCTCTATGAAGTACTGGATATCACAATCTCGGGCCCCTTGAACAAAAGCAGTCGTGGGTGAGGCTGTATGTCTCAACTCCAGACATACCTGAACTTTACACTGAAAGAGAGTAAAAAAGGGTACGGTACGTCTTAGACCTGGTAAAGACAAAGCCCTTTGTGAAACATTAAGATATGCTAGTCACCTGGGTTACCTGGCTACTCCATGCTTTCCTGACCTCAGTGATTGCTGATCAAACAAGACTCTCTTCCTCAGTCTAGCTCAAAAGCAGTCACACCTTTAAATAGGTGAGCTGTCACACACAAAGTTTATCATCCATCCATTTTCTACACATTGCTTCTTCCTCTGTAGGGTCTTGGGGGGGCTGGAGCCTATCCCTGCTGACTTAAGGTGAAGGCAGGGGACACCCTGGACAGGCTGCCAGTCCATCACAGGCCAAGGCTTGTACAGTTTACCCAAGTCAAAAGAATTTTCTGTTATATAAGTTTTTGGTTTTTTTTAAATTTCAGAGCTTTTTCAGTTTCACAGCAGGATATTTGCAGCAGTGACATTGTTGTGCATATGGATGCGTTACAGAATGTGATCTCTATAATCACTATAAATTGACTACCAGGGTGCCCCCATAGCTCACCTAGTTGAGCGGGTGACACATGAACAGGGGCTCGAGTTGCCCGATGCAGCGGTTGTGGGTTCGACTCCTGCTCACCACCCTTTGCTGCAGGTTTCTTCACCCTTTCCTGTCTATCTCTACTGCTCTAAATAAAGGCAAAAAATATCAGCCTTCTTTCTGAAGTCTTCCAGAAGACTATTGTTAAATAAAGCTTAACAGAACGATGACTCCCTGAGTTATTTTTTAAATATATTTATTAGACTATATAAAGCAGTGTTAGATTTCTGCCCTCATCAGTTTGCTGAGATGTAAAAGTACCCGATGGCATCGCACTCCTGGTTCACTGGCATATGCCGATTCTCCAGTGGCATGCCGCTTCTCTCAGCTGGTGTGGCGCCTGTGTTTTACTGTCACATACCACTTTCCAGCGGCAGGAGCTACTTGATATTACTTGGCCACTCTTGGTTGGCCATCAAACTGTCATATCAGCGCTGCCTAATATATGACATATAAACTTGATGCCAATTAGCTCATTTGATGACAAGTATGGATTCACTTCCTACCGTTATTGAAAATGTAACGCACGGTAATGCACTTGGAAAGAAAGAAACTGTTCTGGTCCTTCCTGTTGCAGTTACATACTTTTGAAATGTTTGATTGTAGAGTAATTTAATATCAGTGGCACTCCCACATATTTTTCAGTGAGGTCAAATGAAAACCTCCGGGTGGCACACCAAAATCAAAACCCATCACTCAGTTTCAGGAAATCTATTCTGCTGTCATAGTACAGTGACGAGTTGAAAACTATGTCAATTTGAGAAATAAGGAATCACAAACTGATATACTTTAATTAACTAATTGAATTATCTAATGTGCATAGCCTTATAAAGGCACAACTAACATTTTATTACCATGATGTTCAAAACAGACTAAGAGAAGAGACATTTGAGGAGAAAATGCTCACTTATAGGCATCCATCGTTCATGTTGTCCTAAACACTGAAAATTCTGTCCATGCGTGGTAATAATTCATCTAACTGCAGCCATTTCATTATCCATCAGAGCTGGGTTGCCAGTGAGATTCCAAAGGTGACCATGTTTCCTCCAGCCAACCCTCAGCAGCATCAGTGTTTATATGTGTAGTATATTGCAGACGGTTCTTATATTTGAGCTAGCCTTCACAATCGTACACACCTATAGCAGAGGTACAGCACAAATCAGTGTAAGTGGCATTGGTAAACACTGCTGCAGGATCTAGGGTGGTACATGTAGGCCAGACATGGAACGGGACTAGTGGCAGACTCATGGAAGCATTGCAGTGGCAGTGAAATACCCGGGCACCCGAAGCTATAGTCCCAAATGTTTTATGAGGAGCCATGGATCCATTTTTTTGGTTTGCAAAAGTCAGAATATTAAAAAATAGGCTTTGATCTATGTGTCTGACATTTTAATAATGTGTTTAAGCCATCAAAAATATTATGATACAGCTGACCAAAACCACTGGGATACTATCCATCTATTATCTACACACCGCTTAATCCTCACCAGGGTCATGGGGGGCGGAGTCTATCCCAGCTGACTCAGGGTGAAGGCAGGTTCACCTGGACAGGTAACCAGTCTATCACAGGGCTACACTCACATTCACACCTACGGACAATTTAGAATCACCAATTAACCTCAACATGTTTCTGGACTGTGGGAGGAAGCCGGAGAACCCGGAGAGAACCCACGCTGCACGGGGAGAATGCACAAGAAAGATCCCAGGTGTCCTCACCGGGACGTGAACCAGCGACCTTCTTGCTGCGAGGCAACAGTGCTAACCACCGAGCCACCTTGCAGCCCATTGGGGACCATAAAGAGGAGATTTTTCATTTTTACAGTCTCACAGCAGGATATCTGCAGCAGTGCCATTTTTTGTGCACAGATGCTTCACCATAACTACATATACTGCTGAGCGTGGCCTCTATTCATTAAAGTAACCAACAAAATACAGTAACAGGGAACCAGGTAACAATAAAAACCTGTTTTATTGTTTTATTGTAAGTTGCTGTAATTAAAGCTGTTATCACTAGACTGTGGACAGCATTTTTGGTGTTTTTTTTTTTTTTTTTAATCAGCAACAGAGGCAGCAGATTTGATTTGATTACTGTTAATTATTTATTTGTTATGGGACTTTATTAGTGAACTTTTTCCCCTCACGAGCACCTGCATCTCTTTTTCGAACTATGTAAAGGATCAGTCACCCAAATTAAAATGACATCCTAATAACGCCTTTAATCAATGTCTGATATCCTTCCATAAATCCACATATGTGTGGAATTATTCAGCTGGGTGGGCTAGCCCTAAATTGGTTATTGATTGCACAGTCTGGATCGGTGGTCAGGCTTAACACTGTGCTTGTAAAGGTCATCCCACTTTCTTTCTATGCTTGACCCACGGTCCACAATAATTTCAAAGAGAGTGCAGGCTAGCTAGTGTTTCTCAAACAGCGTGTTTTGGAATTAGTCTCATGATGAGTCACAGCTATAATCATATTTAAAAGCATGCCTGGGAAATACTTGCTTTCATCCGTTTTATTTAATAGTAATGATGACACAGTACTCCAGTAAATGACAATAACCAGAACAAACCTGCTGCTGATGTTGCTGACAGAAATTTGGTTGATAGTCTGATGATAAGTTATCTCACTACAGAAACTTACAATAAAACAATAAAATGTGTTTTCATTGCTCCTTAGCCACCTGTTGCCATATTTTATTGGTTACTTTATTGATAAGAAAGGCCACGCTTTATGCAGTATGTAGTTATGGGAAGCATCCATAAATACAGTAATGTCACTGCTACAAACATCCTCCTGTGAAGCTGTGGATCTCACACAGACAGAAAAACACTTTGACTTCACCAACACTGAAATCATTTTTGATCACCTGTATAATTATTTTCCAGGTCTTTAACACACTATTGGACAGACAGATGAATAGATACAGACCTTTTTTTTATTTTTATTTTTTAAACTATAACTATTATTACGTATGTACAAACAAAACACCACCAAACACACCCGGGGCTCCTCATTGAACACTGGGGGCTGTTCATCCCGGACGCCCAGGCCTGAGGCCGCCACTGCAGATGTGCTAACAGTGTCCAGCTAACATGAAGCGGCTCCTGCTGGTGGAAATAGGAAGTGTCCATGAAATACATGCAACAATAAACCGCTGTAGACTCTGGATATGTGACTGAACCCGGTCTGGTACACCACCGGCCACTTTTCTCTGGGCTTTTATCTCAGTCTGGACATTTACGTGATAGCATCTGTAGCTAGCAGTTAGCAGCTCGTTACAGATGAACCTGCAGTCTAACGAAGCTGTCAAGTTCTGACAAATCCTAACAAGTTCTGGCTAAGTTGACCCAACCAATACTTCCTACGTCTATGTTGAGGCGAATAGAAACGAGGCCAGTTTCAAGTACTTCCGTGAAAAAAGCAAATATTTACATTCAGAAGTCCGACGTGTGACGAACTCATTTTCCTGTTTAAACGGGTTTCGTGTTACCATCCTGACTGACAACCACTGACCATAAACTGAAGCACACACAACATTAAACAATGTGAAAACTTACATACCGTGCGGCAAAACTCAGCTAGGTTCTGGTAGAAAGGTTGTGACCACAGACTAGTCGTAGCAGTTGTATATTGTGTCTACTCATGTGGTAGTGACCACGGCCTGAGGCGAGGCGTATTATGACGTGTTTGTCCCTCGGGGCTTACCGTAGCTGTATGCGCATCAGGGCCGAGGTCGTTCAGGACTACAAACATGGATGACATGAAAAACATTAACAAACAGTAAAGCAAAGTTTTGAATGTAACTTTATGAAAGCAAACTAAGTTTTTGTTTTTTTTGGTATTGTAATTTCTTTCATTTCACTAGCATACAGGCATTACAACTTAAAATAAATGATCCAAGCAGTAAAATACAACAAGACATGAAACTAATGCACACACAAACTATACCAAATCAGCCCAAAAATAAATGATAAACTGACAAACTGAAAATGAGTAAATTTTTTTATATTGGTATTTATTCACATTTGCTATTATCACAGTATTGTTTGAGAAATTACCTGTTCTCCTCCTCTGCCTCTCCCTTCACCAGCACGAGAGGTTTTATTTAAAGTGTACACATTGATATGGATTAAATCCTTTATTGCCCACTTATTTTATTTTCATAAAGTCTTTCATCTGCATTTCCTTAGTCAGGTCACACTCAGAGCATGCACACAGTGATGGGAAAACACTTATCAAACAGGGCAGGACACAAGATCACCATGATATAGAATATAAGTATAATTGCATACTTATATATTACCAAAAACATGGCATAAATGATATCAGATTTAAGCCGTCTGACAAAATCACTGATGTCAAATTTCTCCATGGACCAGCCCTGTATCTTAATGTGGACTTTTCAAATGTACCAAACAAAGAAGAAATTGAACGGATTCAAGACAAGTTTGTGGCAGCACTATCCACCTTATGTATCAGTTAGTTCAAGTCCTAGTAAACATAAGTGACAAATGTCGTGTTACCTCTGTCTCCACAGGTTGGGGCATTTATCTTATTTAGCCCCGGTCTAAGGAGTCCATTTTGAATATTCTATCTGAAATCAAAGCAGTTCTCTAAGACATCTCTTTCATACTGGAAACGAATGAGCGCCGACTGCAGTCAAGTCTCAGCGTTGCTCAGACTTTGATGTGAGATTATCGGGCCTCAGCTATGTGACAGACGGTCACCACTCTCTCACTGGCTTGGTGCCTCCCCTTCTCAAACTCATCCAGATTTCCTTCTCCATTGTATCTGATGAGAAGAACTGCAATGTGGCAGTCAGACGAGAGGGTGTCCAACTTGTAGTGAGAGACCGACCTGTAAATCCTTCTTTTTTATATGTAGGAAAAGACTCAAAGGCAAAATGAAACATTGCTTCACACATCACACACGTAGCACAGAATCTATTCATATATCAGTTAAATCTGGGCAAATATTTTGATACGTATTGTGTACTAAACATATTACTGTTGATGAATGAATGCATGTAGAGCAGTGGTCCCCAAGCGTTTAGGTTAGTGACCTCATAAAATACAACCACGTCTCTGTTTTAAATTGCTTATGACAGTTTATGGCTTTAGTATAGATATCACTTGTGAGCAGTTCAAATAAAAAATGACTCCCTGCTTGTTCCATTTGAAGATTTTATTGATCCAAAAAGGGGAAAAAACATCCAGTATTTCAAAAGTAAAAAACAAAAACAAAAACATGAAGTAGTGAATCAAACATATGCACATAGTTATTTTATCCTTCAAATTGTGATGACCCTAGATCTGGACGGGGAGACACCAGTTCTCAGTCAGGACATTGAAATATTAGAGATATTTTATTCTGTCATCAGGACATTTGACGTTGTTGCTGATGCTTTCTGTTTGATTGTTGTGTGGCTCTTTAGCGTATCACGTAGCTGTCACCAGGACATATGCTGCTGAACATCTCGTCACCCACAGGAGGTCGCTGTTGAGCACATGCGCATTCTGTTTGTGTAAAGGATCTATTGTCGCATCCATTGTGTCCTTCGGGAAAGATCATGTGAATGCAGGCACAGTGTCCCTGAATATTCTCAAAACATCACCGAATTCAACCAAAAAGGATGTTTTTGTGAATCAGGGTCAGCCACACAACAGTACTAGCTTTGGGATTGTTGGATGGTCAGTCATGCTGATAAACTCTGGAGTCATATTCAAAAGGTCCTGAATGCAACGACACTATTTTCCCAAAGAAGCAGACCAGAGAAACACCTGATATATATGAAATGCTATTGTTGGTGCGCTTTCAAAATGAGGTGGAACTCAGGTCAGGTTATGCAGCTCATACCGGCCCTGAGGACATCGCGCATATTTTAAAACCCTGTGTAAACATATTTCTCTGTAGTGCTTCACGCTTAGAAACCTTTATCTGCAGAAAAACAGCAGGAAAACAATAATGTCATTGCAAAAAATAACATACAGTGTGTTGATATATTCTGAAACAAATGTACATTCGTATTCTTAAAAAAAACACATCATCAGATTTAAACACACAAACAACACTTGCATCATCCAAACTCTTATAAGACACATTTTCTCTCATGTTGTCAGTCATTCTGGGGACCTACACACATTTTATGAAACTATTCAGTGTCCATAAGCGCTGAACGTTTGACGTCGTCATCTAAGAACCCGAGAAATGTCTATCAGTGAAAGCACACTTCATTTTGCACACCTCCACGGAAGTTCAACATCAGTCAACTTTAACTAAAAGCAGCAGTCTGCCTTGGTTTCCAACATTATTTGGATTTTAATTATTTAAATTAAAAGACTTAAATAGGTTTTTCCATTAAAATGCTTCATCACGCCTTGAAAAGACAAACTAAGGGTAAACATACACATCAGAGTTTTATATTCTCATGGTTCTTCTTTGCCACTGTGCGAAATATGAATAAAAAGCCATCAATGTGACAGTTTGATATAAAAAACACACATTTTTAAATGTACTATATATCAAGTGTGATGTCTAGGCTTAGGAAATAGATTTGTTTTTACCATGAGTCTGCTTTAGTATTGGTGTAGCACATTAATTATAACACAGTGAGCCCCATGAAAGCCCTTCAGTGCATCGTGAATCAGCTGCAAAACAAAAATATACACGTGTTTTTTGAACTATTAAATCTGGTACGGGTGTTGATCTCACATCTTTTTGCATTTGTACAATTTATATATTTAGTTTTGTGGAATGTTTATATGGATTTAATTGTATACATATATAAATATGTGTATATATTTATTTCCCTTCCAAAAGTTTAACAGTAGATTGTAATTTCACAGCTCTGTTAGCATACTGGGTGGTTAGCATCATCACCTCACCAGCTAGAAGATGCT